AGAGAGAGATAAGAAATGAGGATCGTCACCGGCGGCGAGGAAAGAGGAGGGGAAAAGGAATTCGTCTCAAGCCGCGGTGAGGGTACTGCTAGTGTGTGTGTAGGTGTGTGTTTGCTTGCTTAAAAGTGTGAAGTGTTGTTGCCCAAATGAAGTGGGTGCTTTAAAATAAGAAAAGAGACATAGAGAGACAGAGAGCATGTACAGAGAAAACCTTCGAAGTTGAAGAGAACATACTGATATTGAGTGTTGGTGGAAGCTATTTTGTGGAGGAATTTCTTTCTTCANAGTGGGTGCTTTAAAATAAGAAGAGAGACAGAGAGCATATACAGAGAAAACCTCCGAAGTTGAAGAGAACATACTGATTTTGAGTGATGGTGGAGGCTATTTTGTGGAGGAATTTCTTCCTTCGAATTGTATGTCCTTTCAGCGCGCGCTTTTGTTGTTGTTGTCGTGGTTGTTTAATCAGTGGCCATCTCGTTGGAGTTCTGCTTGGCAAAGTTGTGGAGAAAGTCGCCCAGGAAGGTGATCGGCTTCTCTGGTCGTTCTCGGGCCACAGCAGAGAGGGCGGCGAGGAGAGCCGGCACGACGGTCACGTCCAGGTACTGGCGCACGGGGGCCTTCTGCAGGTCAATCTTCGAGGCGGTGCTGCCCGAGCCGCCCTTCTTCACCTCGCTCTTCACCTTCACCGAGTCGGCAGAGGCCGGCGTGGCCGGTGCAGGAGTGGCCGCTGCGGAGCCGCTGTCACTGCCGGTGCCTTGCAGATTTGCCAGCGTTGGCTTGACGTCAGCGTTGGCAGCGGCGGGCATCTCGGCCTCGACTGGCTCGCTCGCCGGCGGAGTGGCCGCGGCGGCCGTCTCGGACACATTGTTCTCCGCGTGGTTAGACGCTTCAGCGGTTGCCAGCTCCTCAGTGGGCTTTGACTCCTAGGGTGGTGATGATGTCATGAGATAAGAGGAACAATGTTAGAAGCTGTGAGAAAAGAAGGCACAAGTGACAACAACATACCTCGACCTCCATCTTTTCTTCTTCGGGCTCTTCTTTAGCCACCGCCGGTTGCTCACCACCGCTGGCCTCTGCTGCTGGTTGCGCTGAGCTGTTGTCGGTAGTGTTGATGGTCGTGGTCTCCCCGGTGGATGGCTTCTCACTGCTGGTTTCAGTTGTATTCACTGCCTCTGCTGTCGCCGCCGGTGACTCGGGTGCGCTCTCCGGCTTTGCAATGTCTGGCAGCGTAGTGGTGGCTGCTGCTGCTGCTTCTGCTGCTGTTGCAGGGTCGACTGGCTTTGCCTCCGCTTGGCTGCCAGAAGTCTCGCCGCCGCCGCTGGTTGTCTCCTTCTTTTCTGGTGCAGGTGTCGGTGATGATGGGCTAGCTGCCTCCGCCGCTGCCGCCGCTGGGGAACTGATCGCCGCTTCAGACATGGTGTGCACAGTTGACAACAACTCTGTTTTGCCGGTGGTGGTGGCCGATGATGATGATGATACGGCGAGTTGACGGTGGTGGAGGACGCAGTGGCGGTGAGTGAGAGTCAAACTGTGAACAACAGTGGTCGGAGAGTGACTCTCTGGTGCGACGGGGTGATTGGGTTTGGGTGGTGAAAGGAAGAGAGAGAGAGAGAAATAGAACCGATGTCCAAGATGAGAGAGAGAAAGAGAAAGAAACTGCTGCTGCTGCTGCTGCTGAACTAGCGGAGCGGCGGCGGCCGTTGACAAAAGAAAGCAAGCACGCGCGCGAGCTCGAGAAAGCTTTCTTTGCCCTGCCCTTCACAGAGTACGTGTCCGCTGGTTTGTTTTTCATTTTTTTATTTCGCAGTACTGCAATCGCTACTTCGNTGGGTTTGGGTGGTGAAAGGAAGAGAGAGAGAGAGAGAAATAGAACCGATGTCCAAGATGAGAGAGAGAAAGAGAAAGAAACTGCTGCTGCTGCTGCTGCTGAACTAGCGGAGCGGCGGCGGCCGTTGACAAAAGAAAGCAAGCACGCGCGCGAGCTCGAGAAAGCTTTCTTTGCCCTGCCCTTCACAGAGTACGTGTCCGCTGGTTTGTTTTTCATTTTTTTATTTCGCAGTACTGCAATCGCTACTTCGCTGCGGCGTAACTTCGCAGCGCTTGGCTACCAACTCTTTTCCTGGTTCTGGCGAACAAACAATGATCTAACTAACTCTAACTGCTGTGATTTCCGGTGCAATTACCAAAGAAAGATACACAAAAACACTGTCCATTATACTCTTTTTCCGTTTGCCACTGTTTTGCCGGTTTGTTGTTTGTTTGCTTGTGACAGACTGTGGATTGGTCTGACATCGAGCTGGTAAGTGTCATCTGTTCTTTTGGTCTTTATCGGTTATCTCCCACTCAGCGACTCTCCGATGATGATACTGATGATGATACTGTGTCCTACGCTCTCTCCTTTTCTAGCCATTGAATGCCAATTTTTGTGATGACTGCTGGAAGACGATGACTGCTACTGAAACTTGGCTCTTACTTTAGCAACAACAACGGCGACGCCCGTAAGTTTTACCTCTTCAACAGCTGCTTTTTCTATTGCTGGTAAAACTTTCGCAGCTTGAGTGTACTTCCTTTCCATAATCCCTGCGCTTAAAATTTTTCACAGTTGCACCTATTTGGATGTCCACTGATACACCACCTCGGTTCCGCACAATTAGTTCGCATTGTTGATAATTGCCCACCTTGTTCACTGTTTCAATGTCACAGCTCGTGGTGCACTGTCTTTTCATTTCTTCTGATGAATCAACGACACGCAATGTGAATGGTAATTGCTCGTGCGTCTTCGCTTTACGCTTTGACCACCACCACCATTTGCTGTGTTTCCACACAGTGTATCCAAGTTTCCCTTGGCAATCAGTCAGTCCCTCTTACTGCAACCTCAATGTGGGTCCACCATCACCTGCTGCCTTTGCAGTAGTTCTCCTGCAGCACAGGCATCGTCGTGTTAGCTTTTTTCCACTGCTTTAATTGTTAACCCGAAAGAAGCACTTTTGTTTT